TTCAATACGCATTGGCGCCACCGTTTTGCACTTCAACAATAAAACGCGCCAAAAAGCATTGTCAGTTTCAACCATTTGGCAAGGGAAAACGTTAAAACTGCAGGAAAAAGGGAAGTGAGATTGTGAAATGTTTCCAGACGCCATCTTTCTTGTCCGTTATCGTTTTGAATTTCATTCTCTTTTGTTAATGTTTTTTTGCGAGGCGTTTTTCTTCTCTTTTGCGTCAGGCCTCTTCAATAAGTCACTGTACACCTGCTGTAAGGAAAGCGACCTCAGTTGACATATTATATATTGTCAGCCCTTTCTACTTTCACTTTCATTTTCAATATTACCACGGATTTATTCATCTTTTGACCTCGCCTTTTGCCTCTGTTCGTTTTGTGCTGTTTTGTATATTTTTCAACATATGTCTTCTTTCTCATCTTCGCTCTTCGTTTTCTTTAAAGTAACCCGTCTTTCTTTCTTTCTTTCTTTCTTTCTTTCTTTCTTTCCACGTTTATGCATTTCTTACTTTTTCATTCACATTCTTTCTTTTTTCTTTCTTTCCAAGTTTATGTATTTATTTCTTTTTCATTCACATTCTTTCTTTCTTTCTTTTTTTCTTTCTTCACGCGTTTACTACTTTCTGTCTTTCTCGTTCACGTTCTTTGTTTCTTTCCACGTTTCTGCATTTTTTTCGTTCACAAATCTTTCTTTCTTTCCACATATATGCATTTCTTTATTTCTCGATGACGTTCTTCTTTTTTCTTCTTTCTTTCTTTCTTTTTTTCTTTTCTTTTCTTTCTTTCTTTCTTTCTTTCTTTCTTTACACGTATATGCATTTCTTTATTTCTCGATCGCGTTCTTCTTTTTTCTTCTTTCTTTCTTTCTTTTTTCTTTCTTTACACGTTTATACATCTCTTTATTTCTCGATGACATTCTCCTTCTTTCTTTCTTTCTTTCTTTCTTTCTTTCTTTCTTTCTATATGTGCTGCATATATTTCTGACACTCTCTCTCTTCCCTGACTCAACTCATTTCCATCTTGCCATTTACCTCCCGTTCGTTCTTGACATTTCTCTTTTTCTAAATTTTATCTTTCTTTCTCTTTCACTTCCATCACTTTCACGATTTCGTTTTTCCTAAAAACCTTTCTCATTACTTTTTTCTTTAATTTTTCTTCCTTGCCAATCTTCGTGCGTTCTTTATAGTTTTATATGTTTTGCAGGTCACCTTTTTATCCATCATTTTCGACATCATCGAGCTTATTTCATTCCTTACAGCCAAATTCTTCGACTCTCTTTGTTGACAAGAAAAAGATGACAGACTTTTGCTGACGCCCAAAACTCTCAGAATATTTCCAGTCTACAAAAAGTTCGCCATTTTCAAACTTTTTCATTTTCTTTTTATTTCTATTTATTTTTTTGCTTGGTTCGGATGTCTTTTTCTAAAAAAAAAAAATCTATTTATTTGTTGTTTTCTTTGTTTGACTTTTCTTATTCGAGCATTTTTTGTTGACTTCGTCACTTTTCCATTTCGTTATTGTCAATCTGCTTCACTTAATTTTTAAAAAAATTCTGGAGTTTTGGGCTTGTTTTCCGATTTAATCGTTTATCCTTCCCCCAAATATTGTTCTTTCTTTCTTTCATTTTTCTTTCTTTCTTTCTTTCTTTCTTTCTTTCTTTCTTTCTTTCTATCTTTCTTTCTTAATAACTCCGTGAGTCTTCTTTCTTTCTTTCTTTCTTTTCTTTCTTTTTTCTTTCTTAATAACTGTGTGTTTTCTTTGTTTCTGTCTGTCTTTCTTTTATTTCTTTCTTTCTTTTCTTTCTTTTTTCTTTCTTTCTTTCTTTTTTTCTTTATCTTTCTTTCTTTCTTTCTTTCTTTCTTTCTTTCTATCTTTCTTTCTTAATAACTCCGTGAGTCTTCTTTCTTTCTTTCTTTCTTTCTTTCTTTCTTTCTTTCTTAATAACTCTGTGTGTTTTTTTTGTTTCTGTCTTTCTTTCTTTCTTTCTTTCTTTCTTTCTTTCTTTCTTTCTTAATAACTCTGTGTGTTTTTTTTTGTTTCTGTCTGTCTTTCTTTCTTTCTTTCTTTCTTTCTTTCTTTCTTTCTTTCTTTCTTAATAACTCCGTGAGTCTTCTTTCTTTCTTTCTTTCTTTCTTTCTTTCTTTCTTTCTTTCTTTCTTAATAACTCCGTGTGTCTTCTTTCTTTCTTTCTTTCTTTCTTTCTTTCTTTCTTTCTTTCTTTCTTTCTTAATAACTCTGTGTGTTTTCTTTCTTTCTTTCTTTCTTTCTTTCTTTCTTTCTTTCTTTCTTTCTTTCTTAATAACTCCGTGAGTCTTCTTTCTTTCTTTCTTTCTTTCTTTCTTTCTTTCTTTCTTTCTTTCTTTCTTTCTTTCTTAATAACTCCGTGTGTCTTCTTTCTTTCTTAATAATTCTGTGCGTTTTCTTTCTTTCTTTCTTTCTTTCTTTCTTTTCTTTCTTTCTTTCTTTCTTAATAATTCTGTGCGTTTTCTTTCTTTCTTTCTTTCTTTCTTTCTTTCTTTCTTTCTTTCTTTCTTTCTTTCTTTCTTAATAATTCTGTGCGTTTTCTTTCTTTCTTTCTTTCTTTCTTTCTTTCTTTCTTTCTTAATAATTCTGTGCGTTTTCTTTCTTTCTTTCTTTCTTTCTTTCTTTCTTTCTTTCTTTCTTTCTTTCTTAATAACTCTGCGTTTTCTTTGTTTCTGTCTGTCTGTCTTTCTTTCTTTCTTTCTTTCTTTCTTTCTTTCTTTCTTTCACGTTTATTTATTCGTATTTTTTCTTAGCTGATATTTTGAGTTATTTAGTTTAGTATTTCAACCATTAATATCTTTTCGTTTTCCTATTGCTAGATTGTGACGTATGCTTGTGTTAATAGCAGGTTAATTCCCGTGAAAACTATGCGAAATGAAATAAAGTTGAATTTACTAAAATAACATTGAGGTAAACACTAAATCTTTTAGTCATACATTTGTTTTATATATATATATATATATATATATATATATATATATATATATATATATATATAAATGTATAAGTGCGCATGTATGCAGAAAATAGAAAAGAACACGTTGGGTGCATAACCCGGAGTTCCTTAGTATTTTTGTTTTTATTTTTAAGAAGACAGTGCTTCATACAGAAGTAGAGCTTTATTATAATAATATTTTTTTGTTTCAAAATATGATTCCTTCGCTACATAAGAGCTCTTATGTTTCAAAAACGAGAGACGAAATCATCCAAATAATTATTAAAATTAAGTTGAATTGAGGTGTTTAGTCCCGTTTCATCCTCAAGCGAAATTTTAGGAATAAGCCATCTCTCAGTTTACGTGTGTTTTTAGGCATGGTCCTTTACAGAATTCGTTATTGTGGAAGTGGCTAGACTGTTTTTCTTCGTTAAGTGGTAAGAGAGTTAATTTTTATCAATAGATTCATCATCTTCTGAGAGGTTTTGCTAAGGTTGGGTAAGGTATCTATTTCAAGGCTAATGTTTGCAGTCACCCCTTAGTTGGTTCCCAGTGAGGGATATTTTTATGGCGCGTCTACAAGTCGTTATGTGCTGACCACTTAACGAAGAAAAACAGTCTAGCCACTCCCACAATAACGAATTTTGTAACGGACCATGCCTAAAAGCACACGTAAACCGAGAGATAGCTTATTCCTAAAATTTTGCTTGAGGATGAAACAGGAGTAGACACCTCAATTCAACTTAATTTTAATAATTATTTGGATGATTTCGTCTCTCGTTTTTGAAACATAAGAACTCTTATGTAGCGAAGGAATCATATTTTTAAACAAAAATATATATATATATATATATATATATATATATATATATATATATATATATATATATCAAACATTCAAACTTCTTCCACTGTTACGATTTTTAATATTTAATATTGTTAGAAAGAAAGAGAGATAGATAGATAGAAAAAAGAAATAAAGAAAGTGTGGAAAATAGGTACTTTCACTGATTTACTAAAAATTTGTATACGATGAAAAAATGCTCCAAACTTAATACAAACAAAATTTCACTGTCAAAATCTTCATGTTATTATTAAGAGGAAAGACCAAAGGACTTTTTAGAAACTTCGAAATTTTGGTTAAAAATCTTGTTTTTTTCGTCAGCCAAAGATTAGTATAGAAAATTTTAGTATCTGCTTTGCGGTGAAAAACACACTGTTTTGGAAAGTCTTCAAAAATCCAATCATTTTAATGAAACTTTCAGAATTTATTTACAAATGAATTAAATTAATTTAGAAATGTTTTCTTTTAGAAAATATAGGCAAAAATATTTCGTTTTATATCTGTTACCTCCTACTTATTTAATTTTATGAAATTTCGGGAAATTAAATTTTGACCGCTTAATTTTATGTTAGTTAAAAGCAGAACTCTTTGAAAATTTAAATCATTAAATTTCTTTTTGTAAAACAGGTATCCAGTTACTGAAAATCTGCTCTGAATCGTCAAATAAAATATGTAATAAAACTAAGACATTAGTTAATTAGAAAAACTTTTAATTGCTTTTTATAAAGAAGATATATTATGGACACTAATTATCGTAAGAAAAATAATTTTCGATGAATAATGAATTTTTACAAGAATTGTTTTCATTAAAATGTTTTTAAAAATTATAATAATTTATAAAGTTTTAAATCTTTTAAGATTCTGTCTTAATCTCTGCGGGTTAAGCGATATTGTGATTAAGTAAAAACTATATTTACTAAACATAAATGGAAAAGCTTATTACAATTTTGCGACCACGAATATTTTAAAAATAATTTTGAACTATTTTTTGTATATGTGTAAAAGTGCCGATTTTTGTAAATACACGAACAGAAAATAAGAGTGATAACTATATTAAATTTAAAGCCAAATTATCTAAAACTCTATAAAACATTAGATTAGGGAGAATATTTTCCTGAATGTTCAAGATTACAGTGTAATTAAAAATTATATAAAAAGGAGCTTTTTTACATATATATCCACCGTAGAACAAAATTAGATAAACTGTGTTTTTGTAATATTCAAAGTAAATAATAGTTGTTCCAAATCAGATTAATTAAACTTTAAATCAGATGCCCCACAAATAAAGTTTCAGAAAAGTATATTTTATTTTTGAAAGATTTTTTTGTGATAACAGATAGCTGAAAACGGCGTTAAAATCAGCTATTTTAGCAATTGCTAAACGAAAACTCCTTCAAGACAATTTAAATTAGTTTTTCAATTAGTTTTCAAATACAGTAAAAGTATTTTAATTATTGGAAATATTAAATTTAAGCTATTAGCTCTATGGATGTACCTAGTGGTAATAAATAAAGACCGGGGAGATATTATTAAGTGACTCCTAGGTTATATATAGAAGCAATATCAAAATATAATCTGACAAAATATTTTGTAATTTGCTTAGTGGCTAGTTCAGTTGCGTGTTCCTCAACGATGTTAGTGTTCCTTAACGATTCTAGTGTTCCATGTTCGGGCTTAGATAAAAGATTTCAATTGAAGCAAGAACGTTCTAGGAACTGAAAATATTATGTTATCTTGCATGTATCCAGTGAAGTTCTGTAAGAAATTAAACGAAGTAGATATCCCCAAACTGTTTTTATTTTTCTTATAGAATGAAGGATTATTTTAAAATTCGATTCTATTGGTAGAAGAAAAATCTTATACAATTATATTCAGAGCACGATTCTACGAGAATAAAATAAAAAAAAAAATTCCCAGGGAAGTAGAAAATTATTTAGAGAACTCGATTCTACGACAATAAAAAATCCTTATGAAATTCCCTGATGGTTGATGAAACTAAAATTCCTAGAGTACAAGAAAATTATTTTCAGAACTTGACTCTACGACAGTAAAAAAAAAAAAAAAAAAAAATCTTATAAAATTCCATGACGGTAGATGAAACTAAATTTCCTAGAGAACAAAAAAATTATTTTCAGAACTCGATTCTTTGACAATAAAGAAAAAACACTTATAAAATTCCAAGACGGTAAATAAATTAAAAATTCCTAGAGAAGTAGAAAATATTTTCAGAACTGGATTCTACGGCAATAAAAAAAACCCTTATAAAACTCCTTCATGATGTTACTTTTAGGTAATCTAAGAGTTTTTGTCTTCTATTTTATCCTTCAATTAATCACTATTAATCTGATATATTGATTGGTTATCTTCCATATATTCGTAAAGGGATAATCTACAATCGTTTAAATAATATCACTTTCTCTACTCAACTTAATTTTCAGAAGTATATTATCACTTTTGTTCTTAAGACAACATTTCGGCTGATACATTTCTTGGTCTTTCCCAAGTGTATATTGTATCCTATGATCTTTTGAACTATTATCATTTTTCCTCCTATTTATTCATTTCGGAACAAAATGGGTAAGTCAGGGACCGCATTCTAAAACGTTTTTTTCTTCAACGAAGGAACAAATGAAATGAGAGGGACGCCATCTTTCCTTATGAAATATTGTTTTTGCTGTAAATCTCTATTATGGGAAGCTTTAATGACTCGACAACATCAAAACCAAACATTTGCAAATGGCCTAATATTGATCTCGGTAATAAGAAGAATTATTCTCTAAAACAAATTCCACGTAACACTTTCCTGCATGCTGTTAAAACCTAAATTTTGTACGGTTATAGATTATTTTTCCTAAGATCATATAGAAAATCTATTTTGCCGTTTCCTAGTCTATTATTTTGATCTTATTTTAAACAAGATACCACGTGCCTTTGTTTTTTTTTCCATTCATTTCCGCCATATCTGTTTTTGTTATCCATTTTTGCATTGCTTTCAGAATTTCAAAAGTTCTTTGGTCTGTTGAACTTATTCGTTGTTTTGTCGTTGCTATTCAATGTCGACCTATTCAATGGCCGTCTTCA